CTATTCTTATGGAAACAAGACTTAGTTAACAAGTCATCCTTTTCCATATTCCTGAACTACCTTTTATAAAAAAAGAATAATTTTATTAGTATCCCTCCCTCATGGGATGGGATGCCCAACAATCTCCACCTCCAATCCCAGGAGGGAGGTCTTCCTTTGCAGATCAAACAGGTGCTCAAATGACACCCCTGCCAGTCATGCTTCTGCATGACTCTTGCTTGTCTTTGACCAAAGTCGTCGTCATCATATCCGACATTCTCCTGTCGGACAGAATTTTTCCTAGTTGCAATAGTTTCTCACCCTTTTGCAGCTTGGACAACCATACAACTCCCCTTGCAAAAGTAATCGAGTATCCCGAGATTGACTTCCTAGAGTCTAGTTCTCCAGCGATGTCTTCATCTGTGTACTAATGTAATACAGGTTTTCGTCCCCCAAAGCACACACTTTGGATACTCCTCTGAGATACCTAAATATCAAATTGGCTGTTATCTAGTGTTCCTTGTCAAGATTAGCATTACTTGAATTTGCTCACGACGTAACTGTCAGTCTATAGCCACTGGTGGTTAAAGTGATTCACTGTTGGTCAAAGTGGTGACTGACGATCCATTGGTCAATACCTTCTTTGCACAGTGGTGATTCATTGTTGGTCATGGTGATGACTAATGGTCGATTGGTAAATACCTTCTTTGCACAATGACGATTCACTGTTGGTCAAGGTGATGACTAATGGTCTGTCAGTTAAGACTTTCTTTGCACAGTGAGTACTCCCAACAGTCACTAACTAAGCTCACCATGCGTATGCTTCGTGTGCTCCCTACGACCAACTCATAAGGAACTTTCTGTGTTTCTTTCTACTTCCTCTTGGTTGAAGGGATCTCCTGGCACCCAATCCGTGCCTTCTTGCCTTACGACAACGTTACCAAATCACAGGTGTGATACTTATGCAAAGATATATCTCATCTTACATTGCTTTAACCCACACCTCTTTGTGTTTGTCAACCTGACGTCCTGGTAGATTTCTGATCCACCCCTTACAGGGTAATTGATAGAGGGTTTATGTCCCTTAGAGGACCTTCACGGTTCAACTGTTGGTGGCACTCCTTAAACAGGCTGCTCCCCTTGCTCCTCATCACCCGACATGTCAACTCTTTGGACCCATTCTCTTATTTCACTTCACCCCCATCTTCATTTACTACGGTGGAGGAACTATGACCGGTTCTGAACCATAGAAGATTCATAGCTTTGCTACCTTCTTTACGTCTTCAATAGTAAAGTCTTATAGAAAAGCCACAGTCTTCCTGACAGACAACACGCATACCCTTGATCACCTTCTTGTACACAGGATCCCACAGCCTACAACTGAGCTCTTCATCAGAGTACCTTTACAAGATGCATAGAAGTGCTTTCTCATTCAACTTGGATCTTTGTTTCTTCGACATGTGCACCAATGCCTCGAACACCATCAAGTTTGAATAAGAGATATCCTTACCGGTCCAACCTCTCTCTGGGATCTGACCATTCAGAGGAAACAACATGATCAATATTAGATAGCATGCCGTGAGGACTGCTTCACCCCAATACATCTTGGTGGTGGATCACATGCTCCTAACTCTGAGACACTTTAACAGCTTGCGTGTCTTTTCCACCCTAGCGTGGAAATCGTAAAAGATCTCAAACACCTGATCTTTTGATTTCACCCATACCTTTTATGAAGCATCATCGATGAAAGTGGCAAGGTATGATGCGCCATCAAACGACTTGACATCCATGGGACCATACACATCTAAATCCACCAGATTCAGGATTTCCTTAGAGCCCTTACTTGGAGAAAGAGACTTTATGTTGTTTGCCTAGCAAACAATGGTCACATGGGGTTAGAGATGCATGCATCTCCCTTACCCACAATTTGTGAAGTAACATCCGATGCTCCGGTAACCACAACCCAATCCGAGTTGCATGATGCAATATTAATGCACCCTTCACCACAGTTTTCATCCACACCATCATCTGTAGCCACTGCAGTGGTATACTTGCCATCATCCATGATATTGTCCTCATTCCACCCATTCTTGAGCTTCTGGCAATCTTTCTTGATGTGCCCTTCCTTGCCACAATGAAAACATTTGACTCCCTTTCTTGTCTTCGATTGGCTTTGGTCCCCATTCCTGGACCTTCCTCGATTTGTTAGAAGGGTTTGTGAGTTCGATGTGTCAGAAGGCTTTTCTTCTCACCTCCTCATTCAGCAAGCTACTAGTGATCTGACTCATGGTCACTATCTCATCCGGTGCTGAGTTACTCACAGAGACTACTAGGGTCTCTCAACTGTCCGATAGTGAACAGAGCATGTAGCTCATCTTCCACGAACAACTTCATCGTTGCGAGTTGATTAACAATGCTTTGTACCTCATTCAAGTGTTCCACAACGGATTCCCTGTCCCTGAACTTCATGTTCACTAACTTCCGGAATAAGAACGCCTTATTTCCGATGGTCTTCCTCTTGTACAAGTCATGTAGCTTATCCCACAATGACTTCGAGGATGTCTTCATCGACACATGGTGGAACACAATTTCTTCCCACTATTTTCGAATAGTTTCGAGAGCCTTTCGTGCCAGTCTCTTCCACTCATCATCTGTCATACCTTTGGGCTTGTGTTCTACCCCTTCAATAGGTACGTACAAATCCCTACAGTATAGTAGATCTTTCATCTTTGGCTTCCAAATGATCCAGTTATTCCCATTGACCGATATCATTCTGCTCCCGGTACTGGAATCTATTTATCCACACACACTGCCTATTCCCAGTGCGTTACGGTTAGCTATTAGTCGTGCATTACGGTTAACTGTCGCCCGACCTTACGATTAATTGCTGCCCAATCGTTACGGTTAACTGTTGCTCGATCGTTACGATTAACTGCAGACGGATCATTACAGTTAACTGCCTCGCGATCGTTACTGTTAACAACCACCCAATCGTTACTATTAACTGTCGCCCGATCATTATTTTCGCTTGATCGTTACTGTCGCCCGATCGTTAACTGCAGCCCGATCATTAGTGTCGTTCGATCGTTAACTGCATCCACCATTCGTTAAGCATTTGCTGAAATTTTCACAAAACTTTCGCATGAGCGTTTGAATCCCAAAAAATCCCCTAAGCCTAATTAATTGAAAGGTTAAGTCGAGGCAGAGCCCGGAGCTGTGACTAAGAATAAAGGAGCACGATTTGTTTTCTACCTTACTCGCTCTACAACAATTAGGTTCACTATACCGATTTCCCTCTCTGATCTCAGAGACTTCTTTTCTTTTTAGAGGCTTTCTCTTTTAAAAGAAAAGGTTCTCTCTTTCTCTCCTTTTTCTTCCCTTCTCCCTCTTTGTACTCTCAACAAAGAAAAGATATAACAAGAGGATCATTAGTTCTCTTTCATCTTTTTCTTCTCTCTAAAAAAAAGGTTAACTCTCTCTCTTCTTCTCTCTCAAAGAAGGATAATTCTTTCTCTCTTCTTCTCTCATAGAAAATTATGAATCTCTATCTTCTTCATCACCTCTCACAGAGAGGTTGAATCTATATCTTCTTCTTCTCTACAGCTTACTGTATTTTTAATACACCAAGAAGAGTCTGCCTAAATAAATGGCTCAAAGAGATGCATGCCCAAAAATGGCCCAAAGAGGTTCACACCCAAAATGGCCTAGAGAGACGGCTTTGGTTTAACCAACCAATAGCGCACAGAGAGATGCGCGCCCAAAAATAGCCCAGGGAGGTTCATGCCCAAAATGGTCTAAAGAAGTGGCTTTAGTTTAACCAACCACGAGCGCCCACATAGCCTCTCACGTAATTTCCTTTTATGTATGGGCCAAGGGATAACTACCTTATTAAAAGTGTATTCCATAACCACCATTTTGAGTGGTCTATTTCTATTTATTTTTTAAAAGGAGATAAGAGGAATATCTTCTCATTCCAAAAGGCATAACCTCAGATTCTATTCTTATGGAAACAAAACTTAATCAACAAGTCACCATTTTCCATATTCCCGAACTGCCCTTCATCAAAAAGGAACAATTCCATTGGTGTCCCTCCCTCATGGGGTGGGACGCCCAACCAGTGAAGGAAAGCTGATTTATCAAAGATCCAAACAAATAGAAAAATCAACCATGCAAAATAGTTCTAATATAGAATAATACCCAAATTATAATTAAACCCTAATTGAAACCCTTTAATAACTGACATCACTGTTGGAAAAACCGGGCGATCTAACCGCTAACCTCCAGATCAAATCGGAATGTTTTGGGCTGTTTCGTTGATCGACCGGTATTTTAAAAAAAATTACAAAAATGTATATAAATTACCAAAAATAAAGAATTTGGTTTGTAATGTATTTTTTAATATTCTTTACATTATGGTAAAGATTAAAAATTGTTTTAGTCATTCTTAGTCACTTTTCTATTTTCCCAATTTTTTCAAAAAATTTAAAAATATCCCTACGCACAAATCGATTCGTTAAAATCCATTTTTTCATTAATTTTCAGGTTTATTTGAATGTGTTTTTTTTAATTATTCTTTATATGTTTTTCCTATTTTAGTGTTCTTTTTTTTTGTCTTTTTTATTTTTTCAACACTTTTGAACACCGCCCGGTTAGAATGGTTGAAATCACCAGTTTACCGGTTAGGCCGGTTAAACTGCTTCCGGACCCATGTCCGGTTCACCGTTCTGGTTCGATTTTGCGAACACTGATTGAAAAAGCCTGTAATAACCAAAACACTAATTCCTTAGTTCTTCTAGAATAACATATAATTTCATGAGTTAAAAGTTTTACAAGAAAAGGATTAAAGTCATAGAAAAAAGGCTTAAATCTTACACATTGCCTTGAATAACTGAAATCAAGATCAAATCCTTTAATAACCAAAACCCTAATCCCTTAATTCTTCTAGAGTTACATATAATTCTATGAGTTAAAAGTTTTACAAGGAAAATATTAAACTCATAGAAAAAGAGGTTTAATCTTACCTATTGCCTTGAAGGTGGTTTTCTTGGAACCATCTGCTCTTCGAGGATTCATGCATAGGAAGATTGAGAACCTGCAACCCTAACTCAAAGAAAATGAGCCAAAAAAAATTACCTGCAAAATAGAGAGAAAAGCACATAAATATATCTATGGAAAAACAACAGAGAATAGTAACAATATCACAGAAAACTTCAGCAATTGGCGATCGATAGAGAGGGTGTGCGCGCGCGAGGAGAGAGAGCGAGCGATTACGGAGCCCGTCCCCGCGAGACCCTTCCTTTTTTATACTTTTTGTCTGGACGGCTAAAATTTTCTTCCCTGCTAAATTACACGCGTATCCTTAACGCTTATGGCATTTACTTAAATGGTGTGTTTTGGATAGAGTCGAGGCCCTAAACAATCAAATTAGAGTCACCTTCAAATAGTGTCTAGTGGTTTCATTACGGGAATTCTTTGTGATAGCTTTAAAATATATTTTGACAAAATTACATATATATTCGTTATATTTTACATTATTACGAGTGTATTGAATAGTTTTCATTATTATATGTCTATCCGTTTTTTACCTTTTATACACAAATTTTAAGAAAATACGATTTTACTTTTTTTCGGATGTTGAACAACCGAATTGAAGGGTTTTTTGGATGTTCAATATCCGAATTCAATGTATTTTTTGTTGTTAAACAATATCAATCGCATTTCAGAAAGCTTGCATTGCCAGCATCCGAAAATGTGACTGCGAGGAATTTCGCAGTCACATTTTCGAACATCCGAAAATGTGATTGCGAAATTCCAAAAACCTTAAGGAGGGTAAAATCATATTTTTAAAAAATTGTGTTATAAAAAGTAAAAAAATGACAGACATATAATAATGGAAACTATTTGGTACATCCGTAATAACGTAAAGTATAATGAATATGTATGTAATTTTTCCATATATTTTTATATTTAATTATAAAATTTAAAGCTTCAAAAATAATGTAGATTGAGAAGATATATAAAACTTTAAAATTGACGGTCAAAAAATGCCTTACAAGATGTACTGTTTCTAAAACTTGAAATCCATTTTTTTCTCATGATCATGCATCTTAATGTCGAGTTAATCAATTTGAGGATATTTGAGTATCAAAACAATATCTTCTAGTGAAATTTTTTAGGTAGATTCTAATTTTATTGTTTAGCGCCTCGGCTCTATAGAAACTTTTCCCTTTAAATATTACTCTATTTCATACTAGTATCCAATTTTTTCCAATTTTTAGAAGGTCTAAATAGGCCCTACCAAACTATACAATTTTTTAATATTAGTTATTTAAATTTCAAATATATATATTAATTTTGAGACTTAAAATTTCTTAGTTTTCATGATTTTTAGATTTTTAATATCTGAAAATTTATTTAACCCAAAACTTTCATATTTATATAGGTTTTAGATTTTTAATACCCAAAATTTATGTATCTCAAAATTTTAATTTTCTTAAATTTTTGGATTTAGAGTATCCGAAAGTTTTAAGCCCAAAACAAACTTCATTTTTCTTCCTTTACAAATTTGAAACTTTAAAAATCTTAAAATTGAAGCAAAAAAATTGCTAAAAACTTCTCAAATATTCACAATTCAAAAATTATAAAAATAAAATTTTAGAACTATATAATTTTGGATTTTGAAGAACCAAAATATGAAGAATTTGGTCTCTCTAAAAAAATTTGTGGAAGAAACATGTACGAATATAAAAACAAAAAACATTTAGAGCCCACTTGGGTACCTGGAGAAGCCTATCCTGGGAATAGGATTCTCCGGTAATTGGGTTCTCCTGTAATTCGTTTGTCCCTAGATAGGGGTGTCTGCTATTTGGATAGCACCTAATAAGAAACATAGAAATCTTTAACATACTCTAACTCTGGGCCTTTTTCTAATCGGCTTTTGAAAAAAAATGTGAAGAGAAGGAGCCTTGGAGATGCAATGAAGGCAAGGAATTCCTGCTTTGGATTAGATCCAGGAGGTTCCCCATATCCTACTGTCTGTATTAAGAAGTCGGCATGGATGCAGCTTGATATCAGGTCGGAATTCTTCGTGTGTGGTTCATTTTCACCCCTATTTCGAGTTTTTTCGGCTTGTCTGACTGGGCTAAGAGGAGATGGAACCTTTCTCATCTCCCTAATGTTAAGGTCATTAGACCCAACAAGGTTGTGTTCAAACTTCGATCCAAGGAGGAAGTCAGCAGGGCCCTTCAAAATCGTTTTTGCAGAGTCCCGGGAAGCGTACTCTCCTTAGATTTGTGGAAACCTTTTGATCATGTATCCTTCATCCTGAAAGAAGTCCTTTGGATTGACCTATGGGGCATCTCACTATATACTTGAAATTTGGCAATTATCAAAAGAATAGTGGGTGTTTAGGGTATATTGTGACTTAAACTGGGACTCCTTTTTGAGTTCTGTATGCAAAGCTGTGTGCATCAAAATTCTGAAAGCACAATGTGCCCCTCTTTCACGAAAGTCCTGCTGACTATTGGTGATGATTCTTTTGAGATATTGATCTCTCCTGCATCCAATATTGAAAAATCGTGCTGAGCTCCTGCAGCTACGCAGAACAACATTGTAAACCTAAAGGATCAGAACAATGTACCGGAGAAGGGAAGGTCTTCGGCTGGAAATGTATTCTCGAAAAATTTGAAGCATATTAGGAAACCACGGCTAGAAGTTCAGAAATTTGAATTTCAAAGTCTGAAAACTCCTAAAATTCTAAACGGTGGATCCTGGTGGGAAGGTTCCCAGTTTTTTCTGTGGGTCTATCAGAACACACAAGCAAATGGAAGGTAGGGGTTAAGGAAGGTGGCAGTATTATGACTGATAAGAAAGCGGTTTTCTTGGAAACGTTTGAGCCTGTACCGAAAGATTGGATTTTGGATGACATATCATGAGTACAGTTAACTGGCTGGGTCTATCTGGGTGGGCATGAGGGTCCACTTTGTCTTTTTCGAATGGAAGGAGATGGAAAGGCTCCTAAGGCGGCAGGCCAGGGAAATCTCCCTGTGAGATGGTGATGGGTAGGGTACATAATGGGATGTTTGGGGAAGACTGCTCTGTACAAGTGGCAGCCTTATCTCTCTCATCAATTAGTCCTCTTAATTGATGAGAGAGAAAATATCAAGCTATAAAAAGAAAGGTGCAGAAACGTGCAGACCAGACCTCAGCTGTTGCTGGTCTTGCTACTGATTTACAAGGAAGAAGTGGGTCAGGTTTGGCAATTTGTGCTTGTGCTTGTGCTTCTCAGGTCAAAGATGCATCCTCTCCTTTTCCGGTTGGCGACAGCGAAGGGACAATCATGGAAGAGTCGCTCTTGTTTCGACCCATTGCTGATTGATCCCTTAGCCATTGTTGTAGTTGATCATAAGGAGCCCCAACTCTTGCTTGACAACAATACTCAAGAGGAGGCTATTATGGATGACGAGGCACCTGGCCAGCAAGAGGAGCTCATTTTGGCTCGCAGAGAGTTGGTTGTAGTTGCTTTCCCTATGGCCCAACTTAGATGTACTGACCCTCCTACTATCCAGGCTACAGTTCCACCCATTAACAATGGCGATGAATATTCCTTGGTGGCGAAGATGGTGATGGAAATGGGGATGGAGGACGTACCCCTTGCAGTGGTGATGGCGCAGATTAATAAGCGAAGGGATACAAAGAAAGGGGTCGAGAACGAGGCGGAGACCGTTCCAATGTCTGAGGAATTAGCTGAGAAACGATTAGTGGTCACATCGACGACGAAGGGTAAAAGGGCCGCCTCTGGCAAAAAGCACAAGGTTTTTCGAAGAGGGGTGCACCCTTCGGCCAGGCTCGAGGCTTGTGGAGTCCCTAAAGGAGGCTACTCAACAGCTGTTGTTGCTTTTCGTGAGTTGGTGGTGGTGGATGTCGATTTAGGCTCTTCCTCTTCTTCAGAAGATATAAACGACGAGTTCATTGAGGCATGGATGCTGGAAGATGTGTTTTTTGGGGCTGGTCCCTCTAGACCAGGTTCATCTTCTTTCTCCTCTCTTTAATTTGAATAAATATTCTATCCTAGAATGTTAGGAGGTTGGGAGACCCCAGTAGGAAAAGGGATGTGTTGTTTTTGGTATCCAAGTACAAACCTGTGATTCTGGCATTACAGGAGACCAAACTCCTTAGTCCCAATCTTCGAGTGCTAGGGAGGTATGGGGCTCAGGTGAGGTTTTTTCTTGTGGGATCATTGCAGTAGGTAGTTCAGGAGGTTTATGGGTTTTGTGGGACCCTTTGGTTAAAGACAATTTCTTACTTTTGGGTTTTTATAGCCCTAATGCTAGGTTCTCTTGAGGTTTTATGAATGTGTATGGGCCCTCTATTTCTCCATTGAAAGTTGTTCTTTTAAATGCGATGAATGAGGTGGTTCGTTCTATCCACTATTCGATGGTGATTGGGATGGGGGGGGGGGGGGGGTTTAATTTGATATGGTGGTCATGCGAGTCTCTTGCAGGTCACCCTATTAATACATTCATGACGAATTTTAACAGTTTCATTGAAAGTAATGCTTTTTTGGATCTGCCTATTATTGGTTCCAACTTTACTTGGTCCAATAATAGTGTTGCATATCTGGTTATGTCGAAGTTAGATAGGTTTTTGTTTGCTTCAGAGTGGGTCGAGTCTTTCCCGCTTGTTTCTGTGAAAGCCTTGGTTAGGTTATCTTCTGATCATCTCCCTATTCTTCTCAATACGGGTTCTCTCAAGGGTGGGCCAAAACCTTTTAGATTTGAGGTTAGCTGGTAAGAAAATTCAGAAGTGGTTGAGCTGATTAAGAGGTAGTGGTCCAATACTGTCGTGGTGGGCTCCATGGATTTCCAGATACACAAAAAATTATCAAATATAAACACAAATTGTTGGGATGGAAGAAAGAGAATAAATTCGATCTTAAGGCTAAGATCGATTGAGTCCTAACTAAGATTGAACTGATAGATATTAATACTCAAACCTGTGGGGTGTTAACGGAACAGTTGGTGATGGATCGTAGGGTGAAACTGAAGGAGTTAGAGGAGTTGAGAAGATTTGAGGAACTTTATTGGAAACAAAGATCCATGAATAAATGGTTAAAGGAAGGTGATCTAAAGGCTAAATTTATTCATTCTATAGCCAGCGTGAGAAGAAGGCAGAATGATATTCTGGGTCTAACCATTCCTAGGTTAGATCTTGAGGATAATAATGCCATGGCAGAGGATGTCATCAACCATTTTAAGAAAGCTTTTACTAAAGAGGTGGTGATAACTCCAAGCTTTTCGAATGTCCCTTTTAAGATGCTGGATGAAGA